GGACTTATAGAATAAGAACTTAGAACAACAAACCATCGGCCAGATAAAAACTAAGCAAGTCACCCAGATGGCAGAAATCACAATCAACAATCACTCAAAAGCGAACACACACACACACACACACACACACACATACACACACATATATACACACACACACAGAGCTCCATCCGGAATGACAACAGAGGAATGATAACAAGAAGAAAAAGGATTCATATTCCACCATATTTTGTCAAGTCCCTAGCCTAGCGAACAATATAAATAATACCTGAGGACCAGAGTGAGCCAGCCAGCCCATAGACGCCATAAACCCATTCCCTTCCAGTCTGCCTGCCTGCCCCTTGAATAGAGCAACAGTAGCAAAATGACCCAAGAGACCGTAAAAATAAAACCAGTCTGGAGGACGGAAAAGAACAGAAAAATGCTGGCATTGTGAACATGACAAGAATGAACCCAAGAGAAAATACCGTCCACGCCTCCCAAACCAAGCCCCAAATCTAAAAGTTATAGGGGCCGTCGCCATATCAAACGTGTCATGTAGGAAACACACCAACTCCCTTTGCAGAGTCCATACGGGTTGCTCGAAGCAAAAGCCCTGTTCTTTTTTCTTCCGCGATATCTTCCTCCATTCGTCAACTCAGTAACGATGTATCTCCAGCTCCTCCTCTTTTGTTTTGTCTGCACACCGTCCGAACCAAGAAAGAAAAACACGCCGGCAGCTAACCATCATTCCATCCACTCGAGCGTCTCCCTTTATACAATCATCTGCGCCACACCCGCCCCGCCAAGCGTTTTGCTGCCCACAAACGCCTGGCCCTTGACGCCCGCCATGAGGTAGCAGAGTGCCGTGAGCGTCAAAAGCACGGCCGCCGCGATCAGCGAGGTCGCGCGGGGGATGATGGACAGCCACTGGACGAGGGCCATGACGCCGTAGGCGCCCGCGCGCATGTAGTTGGTCGAGACCCTCCTAATGGTTGCATCGAATCCGGACGACGTCGGGCAGATGCGCAGGAGTAGTGGGACTTCGACGAAGAGGATGATGAACGACGATACCCTTTTCCACAGCAAACCATTAGCGCCAGCTGAGAAGATCTGGGTGGTGATCCCAAATGAGGTGAGAGGAAGAACCTACAGGCAGATGATGGCAAAGATGATGATGAAGATGTAAAAGGTGAAGATGTTGGCTATGCCGAGGGCGAAGCAGAGGATCATGGACAGGATGCCGAGCCTATGTGTCGTTGTTAGCTTCGATGATTCGGCACATCCCTTTCGGGTATGTCTCCTTGATAGATTTCTCTTCCTCTCCTCCTCAGCCGCCGGTGCAGTATACAATATACTCCGAGCTATCAACCCAGACGCAGCCAGCTTCAAAGGCGGAGGAGGCTGCGAGACATCGAGCGAAGGCAGATTCGCGTTCTCACCATTGTCCATAGATACCTGATTCCCGAAAAAAGGACTCCAGTCAGCATCGATATCTATCAAGGTAGCTAGCTCATCGCATCAGCTGATGGGGACACGTACTAAAGTTGCGAGTCTGGAATTCCTCCTTCAACGTCATCTTGCCGGACGTTAATCTATAGTCTTCCTCCTTGATAAGGAAAGCTATTTGATTTCCTCGTGATAGCTCTCCCGGTGGAGATAAAACTGCCCTCGATGGAATTGTGTAAACTCGAAATATCGGTAGGGCGGCCGTGGGTCGGTCGTCGGGTTTGATATGCTTCGAGGAAGAATGAACCCTGCTTCTTGGTGTTCTGTCTTTATGCCGTGCCTTGGCGGGACGGGAAGGTATTTATCTGTCCCTTGTCGATATACACCTAGGGGTAGGTAGGTAACAACCGGGGAGAGGGGAGATCTCAACGCAAGCAAGCAAGCAAGCGAAAGAGCTGTCTAAGCTGCTTGTCGCAAAGCACAAGGCCAACGATCGAAGGCTTGATGGGTAGTTGTTCTAGACTTAGAGCCAATGGGTTGATACTGTAAGGGGCGCAAAGTGTTCGTTTCTCCTAGAGCCGAATTCAGATTTGGCGATGTTGGATTGTTGTTGAGGTGTTAACGGTAAGCTCGGAGGCGGCCAGAAGGTAACGTAAGGGTATGGGGAAGTAACACGCAATGCAGTTGCGTTCCTTACCAAGTGTTCAGAGGCCGCGGGCTGGAGGCTGGAGGTGCCCACTGGCTGGCACGTAACGGGTGGCTGTGGCTGTGCTGTAAATGACCCGAGACCCGGTGATTGGGCTCCGGTCGGCAGGGGTGCCCGTGACTTGGTGCGGCGCTCTTCAGTCGCAACACTCACCGAAACAGCTTCCCAAACACGGAATGCGCCGATCTCAACTGACGCTGGATCTCTAAATCACAATTTCTCCAATGCGATATTTCATCCCATCATATCTAATGCGCCATGGCGAATAAATATATAAATACCATATCCCGTCACGCCCTGCCTATTCACCAGGCACCGATTATTCGCGGTCCTTTAACTGCCACGATGCTGACGGATGTGCGTACCAAGTGTTACGCGGCAAATTATACAGAAGATGGCGAAGCAGTGCTTGGGGCAAAACTCCATTGGGAAAGAGTATGAAGCGCAGCCAAGATATATTTCTCTATAATAAGCGCCGAGAAAGCCCCCTCAGCATTTTGATATTCGGATATGTATGGTATAACCCACAGTTATCATCCCGGTGAACCATACACCCATATTTCGTAAGACGCGCTTGCAAGCAACCTCTCTCCCAGCACTCGAGAACCCAAAATGAAGGCGCGAATATAACCGACCACCCCTCTCTCATCTCGCCCACAAGACTCAACTTCCCTCTACAAGCAGCTCTCCACAATCCTCAGTCACCATACCAGGCCGACTCGAGCAAGTCTAAACAAGGAGACTGAAGATGTCGTTGAAGAGAAACCAGGCGCCAGCCGGGTCCTTGACCAGCTGGAAGGTCTGCGCGTAGTTGAGGGGGTTCTGCTCTTCGTCGACCTGCAAACAGTAAAGCACAGATTGTCAGCACGCCGGCAGGAGGAGTTATTGGGGTATAGCATGTCGCCTACAAGAAGTGCTCCAGCAACGAGGATGATAATACCAGCACCGCCCGGAGTGGGTTGCGACTCAAATGAATTAATCTGGTGCTTGACTTTTTGGAACGGGAGCGACTATGTTCACCGGACACCCACTGTTAGCTGTATGCTGCGTTGAAAACTTCAGGTACCCGGATACTGCCTTACTGCGAGCTTTTCGGCGATAGCGGGTCCTCCCCCGACTTGAGCCGACTGGAAGGTCAACATGGATTCATCCCTCTGCATTTTCTCGTGTCAGCTAAGTGTTGCAATATCGATTCGGCAGACACAGAGATGGTCGGAGACGTACGTAGAGGGGTGCAAGGGCGCTCCGATTGCTATCGAAGGTGTTGTAGTAGTGTTCAACGAATTGCTCTGTCGGGCAGCAAGAGCTGGTGTGAGCGTCTCTCCTCCAATATATCACCTCCAAAGCAACACCTCAAGTTTTCTGGAACTCACTCGCAACAGCCTCGTACTCTGTCAGGTAGATATATTAGCTATGCTCTGTCCCTTCTCTCTGCGGTTTGCCAGTCTGCTGTCGCGGGGTAGGCCTCCTTCACGGACGACAATGTTGACTTGCGCGCGCATAGTAACATACCTGCCATCTTGAATTTTGGGAAGATCCGCAAGACCTTTCTAGAGCAAAAAAGTAGGCCAAACGCACGTCGAGTGTAGAGAGGGTGAGCGAGTCGTCAGCTGTTGGGATGATCGTTGGTATTTGGGTTGTTGGGTTGAGGTGCTACCGTAGAAGTTTGTAGATACCCAAGGATGAGGTGGGGGAGGGGAGGCCTTCCACCTTCGCGCGCAACCAGCCCGGTAGTGGGTTAAATTCGGCCTCAGGCCAGGTACCACCGCACCAGCGACGGGGCACCGGATCACGTAATCCGGCTGGAAATTTTGTGCCCAAGAATAAATACAACTTTTTCTTGCCTTTGCCAAACTTTATCCATTTGATATTCTATTGCCATTGCTTCCACTCTGGAACAACAACCAACAATGGCTGGTCTCTTTTAGACGATAATTGCCTAACAGAGACCGGCCATTGTAACTCACCAGGTAAGACTTTCTCATCTTTTCTTGACGTCAAACTTTACCACATTTTTTCCATGATGATCCAACTTCTTATGTCAAACACTACTGAATACCCGTGTTGAACAAATATCAAGCTCAACAGTCTGACTTTATACTCCTTGTTTGCACAATATTGTTGTCTGACTTTGGCACACATGATGCTAACAGTCGCAACAGGCAGAATCGTGGTGATTGGACGAGGACAGGACGGAGATTCCAGAAACTTTAGCTTGCTTCTGAATGAATGGAATAGCAGCTCTCTCGCTTTTGCTCATCAGCTTTTGGGAACCCTTTACTTGCATGTTTATTTCGAATCAAGATCCGTGAATAGTGATTATGGCTTTTGTCCATCACCGCCTGTGAAGAGAAAAACACTCTCTGCCACTGAATGATTCCTGCACCCCCCGTAGAATATAATACACCCGTAGCATACTGGTAACTTGCATTCCGTCCATTCTTGCCATGCATTCTTGATACGTACCAAGGCATCCTTCCGGAGCTCGGGCAGCCTGTCCATAGCTACCTAGGGATCGTCAGCGCCTCGAGATCTCAGAATCGGTGATCCTTTGCAGTGTTTGCCAAGCAAAATTCGGTCTGCCCAGCTCAGGGTTGTAATACTGTATGTACCCTTTCTCTCAAGCGAATCTCTCTCGATATTCCGTATACACATATCAGCCATACTGCAAAGAAATACTGAAACAGGCAAGTACAGAAAATAAAATAAAAACAGAGAGCCCCTTGTGAGGCATCAGTGGATGGTGTCCTGACTCGATACTTTCCACCTGTCAGGCCCCGCAAACTGTAAGTCCTTCTTCATATACAGCCCAAACCAGCTCACAAACCAACGAATCAAATCAATTCATTTGGTTACAGGCGAACAGGCCCGGCTGGCGCAATGGTAGCGCGCAAGACTTCTATCAAAGGACAATTCTTCCCATCCTTCCATCTTGAGGCTGTGGGTTCGAGTCCCACGTCGGGTGCTTTTTTGCCCTCACTATATATCCTTTCGAAAAGTCATGCATGCATGTCCTCTCATTGATTTTACTTCTTTCGTCTTTATTTCTTTTTTATAAATAGCAACAGCACTTGGTAATTTCTATCCATCTACTTACTTTACTACCTAGTTAAATAATTTCCTTTGTCATTATTTATATATAACAGCTAGGTACCTTAATTATCCCGGCATTTGGAAGGTTGATGAGTTGAGAACCATTGGATGCATGCAGTAAAAGTGTTAAAAAGTGAACGCTCTTTCCACGCCTAAAAAGTAAACGCTTTACCATGAACGGGTTCTATTGATAGTATTGCACGATCCACCCAGGGGTCGAACCTGGAACCTCCTGATTCGTAGTCAGACGCTCTGCCATTGAGCCAGCGGACCTTGTTGTGTCTATTGATTTAGAAGTTGTTTCCATGGCTTATTAACAAGAGCCGGGATTCGCCCTGTCCCTCTCCCCGTCCGTTCGAGTCAGGTACCCATCACCATGATGGGCCACAATACCTACCCTCAATAGATGGACAGCCTGGGTCCTGGCAACTCCTGCTCTCCTTCTCCAGGTTTCCCCCAGTTCCTAGATGACTTCGCTCATCAGTCCAGCCCAGTACAGTCCATGGATAAGTACGAGTTTGTTTTGATCACGCTCTAGTATCTTTGGAAAGTACCAGTCAGGTTTGTTTATAAACTGCCGGAGTTTGATATATCAACTATGGCCACCTGATACTTTGTCTATAATGTCTAACATAAATAACCCAACCCTCCAACGGAAAAAATAACAACTTAAAATATCAACCCCAACCCCCAAACGACTCTTGTTCTCGTTTATTTTTGCTATCCTAACCAAACACTCACAGGCCGACAAGCATACAAAACAGCAGACACACAACACAATGATATTTATATTTAGTACCCATGAACCAACCAGCCCATCCAGTCCCAAAGCAAGCTTCCAGATATTGTTTAACTGTATGTCAAAACACGGAGAGATTCGGATCGAAAAAGCGAGCAGTGCCCCAAGCAAGCCGTAATATAAACCGATGATTTGCCTGCATGCCTCCTTTCTCTTGCATTCCCTTAACTTCTCTCCTCTCCCCCTTGTATGGTAATAATAACAAACAACATTGATCACAACAAACACACCTAACCTCCCCAGCAGCGCCCTAAAAGGCTTGCCCCTAGTTGAGCTATACGCTTAACCAAATCTCAATGCCCTGTATGCCAGGACAGTACAGTTGGGTCACCAAGATCAGTAGAGTCCATATCCAGCTTTGAACTAAACAGAAACTCGTGGGTAACCCCAACCCGAGCAGAGGTAATCAACTACTCATCGAGCCATAATTTGTAAACAATCAGCACCATAACCAACCTTACCAAGATAACTCTGATGGTTCGTGCGAGGTAGAGAGATTATAACTCTTCCTCCATCTCCTCTTTTACAGTAGGCGGTGTGGTTATCGTCGGCGGTGCCGAAGAAGGTTGCTTCGTATTTTGCGCCGCCTGAGCAGCCTCTGCCTTGGCGAGTACATCCCCGAGGGCGGGAGGAAAAGTCGCATTCCCACTGCTACCCAAAGACTTGCCAGCCCCCTCACTAATGCTAGGCCGAGCTTTCTTCAGCGGGCTGCCGATCACGTTATCCTCGGGCAAGCTCCTGCCAAATAGCGCGGCGGACGATAGGCCGGCTAGAGGTGGGAACGTAGCGTCCGTGGCGGTCGGCGGAGTAGCTGCCTCACCGGAGCCCGAAGGGGCGGCGCTGGGTGACTTCCGCGAGCTAGCGGCGCTATCTGGCTCCGCTGAATGGGCTCGCTTGAGCTATAAAGTAGGTAATGATATCAGCGTCTGACAGAAGCCGAAAAGGGCAAAGTTTAACATACCCGAATCCGGTTGACACCGTCGGCCAGCTCTCCAGTGAACTTGGCATCTTCTGGCCCGAGCTTGGAGCTGTCATACTTAGTGTCAACATCCTCCATCTTGCCCAAGATCGCCTCAGCCTCGTCGTCATCATCCTCGTCACTGTCTTCATCCATGACGCCACCAAGACCACCATTCCCCTTCTTCTGGGTCTTCTTGCGCCTTGCCGACTGCGCCTCGCCATCACGGAATGTTGAGAAGCCCACTGTACCGCTTGTTTTTAAAGGACCGAGGTTCGAGAAATCCAGCTGGCCAGATCGTCTCTTCACGGCAGTCGGTGTCGCCTGCGCCTTAGGGGCCGGCATCACACCCATCTTTTGCAGTTGCCCTGTAGAAGTAGGTAGGTTAGCAAACATGAACCACAATAGTCTCTGTACCCAGACATTACTGACTTTCACCACGGTAGAAGAACGTAAATGTGGCATATGGCTTATCCGGTCCATCAATCCCCGTAACGGTCTGAGTGCTGATAGTCTTAGGATCGAGCGTCTTCGGTTTTGCGAAGCTGGTGGTATGCTCAACATCCGCGTCGATCCCATTCGAGTTGCTTTTCGCTCCGCCCCCAGCCTCGTCGTCGTCATCATCGTGGGCATCAAACTGAGGTGAGTACTCTCCCTTCTTAATCTCACCCGAAGCAATGACCCTAAACATAGCGACCTTGATCTGGCCGGTAGCTTCGGGAGGTTCATCGTCGTCGGACGAGGAGAGCGAATCATCCTCGTCAAATACCGCTTCAACGGGAGACTTATCGTCGGTACCGTAGCGGAGAGTGCCTTGTGCTTGGCTCGATTTCCCGGCGTCCAATCCGGCAGCACGATCGGTCTCGGCCTTTTGGCGTCTCCGGCGCTTCTCGAATTTCTGCCTCCGGCGCTCCAGCTTCTCTGCGGCATCGTGTCCCTGCAGGTCCAGGCCGTTGAGCCAGCGCTCCAAACCGACCTCGCGGAACAAGAACTCTCGCTCGGCTAGCCCACCACCCTCCGACTCAGGTACCTGAACCCATCTACTATTGACCCAAGTCTCCTCGCCAGGACGTAGTAGCGTCGCAACCTCCTCTTTCGCTCGGCCATCGAAATAGATATAGGCGGCAATAGTCTCATTCTCGCTGTTCGTCATGGGAATGTAGGGGCCGACAACGCCATTGTATTTTCCCCGCTCTCCGCTGCTGGAAGGAAGCGCGCCAACGAACTGCGGTTTCGGATACGGGTTGGTCTCGGTCGCTCGTGGTGTCGAATACGGGATTGCCAGGCCGGGCGTGAGCAGGGTGATGGAGATTGCGAACTTGGCGGCCTCGGGTTTGTTGGAGGTGCCGTTCAGCTGCGGCTGCGGTACCGGTATGTAGGTGTTGATCCGGTTGACCCGTGTCTGCTTCTGCACGCCGTGCTCAGGCAGCGGCGCTCCATTAGCATGGATGCTCACCGCGATGCCCTTGAAGCAGGGCATGATGGCTGTTGTCGGCTTTGGTCAAAATAGTCCCCCCAAAGCCAGAGAGACCTGCGTTCGCTTTTCGCTGCCGTGACGGCTGCGGTCGGTTTGAGAGGTGCGTTGGAGACTGGGAAGAGTTTACTGTCGGCGGGATTGAGGCGCGACCTCTGTCGTGGTGGTTTTGGTTCCGGTTGGTCGGGAGAGCTGAAAATTCTCAAGCAAGGTTCACCAGCGACCAGGGAAAAGCCACCTGTTGCACAGACAAGGGGGACTTGGCCAGATTGAGGCTGACCTGACGAAATCAAGAAAAGTCGTCTTTAACGAAAAACAGCACGCGGGGTTTCACGGGCCTGCTATCGGTCGAGAACACGCACTTCGTTAGAATGGCGTGCGGGAAGCGTTGGTAACAATATATAGAACCAGGCGCTCACGTCGTCGGCAGTCGCTGGAAACCAAAATACAGGCGCTGTAGTCTGAATCCGAGATCCTTCTCGAGTCTGTTTGTTGCCCTGTGCGGGTGTTGGTGATTATAGGCAAGGTACGGGACTGTAGCCACGCGAGTGCGGCAGTGATTTTAGTGAGGGGTTGGGCGGCCAGCAGGGCGCAACTTTTAACGCAAGCACTTCCACTTCGCTGCTGGTCGTCGTGGGGAAAACAAGGCGGTTTCTGGGTCTTGTCGAGCAGCAGCCGTTGGAGCCACACGAAAGCCCGCACACAGTACCTCTAGAATGTGTGGATGCCAGCTAAGTCTCGGTGGTTTCTTGCTCAGCTGGCTGGCGCCAATTCAACGGTGAGGCGGAGGTGTGTCGTCTTGATCTGGTGCACCCGTAGTCTGTTGGTTCGTTTCGTTGGGAAGTGGGTGGATAATGAGTAACTCGTGGATTGACGGTTTGGCTGGATGGCTGGCTGGCATCGCTGGCGGGCACCTGGTGACTGGTGAGGGGGAGTGGGTGGACGGGGAAAGTGGGGAAGCGCACAGGCCATATTACCAGCTGTTCCTCAACTGACAAGCCAGGGCTTCGTCCAGGCCCAAAAGCTGTCTCCGCTTCACAGGTCCAGCCAGCTCAGTTTTCAGAACAAAACAACCCAAGCCGGACGGCAGCATTGTATCTTTGCGGTGTGCTGGCGTCAGGCCGACGACGCCTGACGGGCTGTTGGTCATGGACGCCAGTTTGGGCAGAACTACGAGATCGTGGCCATTGAGCCGCTTTATCTTTTTAAATCACGCAGGGCATCTATTAGGTTGTTCTTCTCTTCACTTTTGGCCTCTATCTCTGTCCATCTCACCCGCCAATTCTGCCCAGCGAGCATCCTTTGAAACCCAAGGCATGGATAGCACATTGCACATTGTACACCGCCAACCTCCATGTACAATGCACTCACTACATACCACAGAACGGATTACCGAATGCCAGTTGTAGCTCATCAAAAGTGTCTCCAATCAGGAACACAGAACCCCCTGGCTCTTGGAAATGGGTTCCTTTGTGTCCTGCTGACATCATAAGTAAATTGCTGGGCTGCTATTAGATGCACCCATGGAATGGGAAATAGTCTCACTTTTCAGGTTCAGTGTCCATTCGGTGACTTCCGGACGATAACAAAGATACTAAATATTCCGGTTGGGTATCACTACTGAACCTGAACCGGCCGACC